CTTTTTTTGGCGTGATTCAGTCTCGTTTAGTTTCGCAATAAAACGTGACCCTGATCGGCTGAGCACTCGCTTTATTTGAATGGTTTATGTTTCTTTTTCTTCAGTCACTCTAAAATAAATCTAATCATAATTAAATAACCAACTCTCGTCTGTTCGGACCCCCTCCAGTCCAGTTATCAGTAATGTTCTAATCAGTGTTTTACAGTAAGATAGCTGGAGGCCACTTCTCTTCGCTTTAAGATTCTGTCTCTCCAATTTCCCATTGAGGAGAGAGAATTAGCCAATTTATATCTATACAAATATCTGTACAAATGCCCTTTCCTGGTGAGAAATTAAGGTCAAAGTGAACAGTAATACCGGTACATTCGGAGTGAGTAAAAAGTACCTTCATTACGATTATTATCAGCTAGTCAGAGCGATATTATAAGGTCAGTTTGAGTGACATTGATATCACAGAACGCTAGCCAAGATCACTGATTGGTGACAAACGTGCTTGGGCCTAGATCTTCCCTGCAGACGCCTTGTCTTGCTCTTTAAAAAAAGCTTTAATTCATCAAAAGAAAAGGAAAGTTTTTCCTTTTGTATTCGAGTTGGTTTCAGCCCTTCTTTAAATGTTATTGTGAATATTGGTAATTCAGCTGATGAGCAAACTAAAAGGAAAGTTTCTCTATTCCGTTTTAAACCACCGCCCCCTTCGTTAGTATCAGCTTGCAAAACCAATTTACTGATGCAGGAAGAACCAACGCCTCTAATTTGCACACGCACCAACACCCACACAGGATACATTCCTATAGCTTCTTTTGACTTCAACATATTTGTGTTATAACTGAAAATAAAATATTGGGGGGGGGGGGGGGGGCCTTTAAAAAAAAAAAAAAAGGGGGGGGGGGGGGGGGGGGGAACCTTTAAAACTAAAAAACACGGGCGATCGCTTTGATAGGTGCTGGAATGTTAAAGATATATGCGTGACATTCCTATGCTTATGTTACGTAACATAGTGTTGTGTGACCGCCTGTAAATGTTTTTGCTTGATGTATTTTACATTGTTAAAATAAGAACCGTTCTAAATTTTTGCTTCTACTTTGAGATTTTTTCGAAAATAATTCATAAGAAGCAAACTGAGTTTAATGAATTCTTTCGCTTATATTACGAATTTTTTTATTACCTTTAAATAGTCTTCAGCAGGCTCTTTGTATTATACCAAAGACAATAAGACAACCTAGACATTTCAGTTCCTGTCACCAAGAGGAAACGACTATACACAGCCATGTGTCTCATTATAATGCTTGCCGATTCAAAGATATTTATTTCCTTTCATACTTAAAATAAGCCGTACCACAACGAATAATTGGATTCCCTAGAATAAAATCAAAAAACAAATATTATTTCAGAAATATAGTGAAAGTAAAAATAACAGCTTTTATGAAAATGTAATATTTCATTAGATTTTCTCGGATTTTCTCGGAAGAATCAAAAATTATGCCAAGTCCTATCGCTTGCTCAAATAAAGTAATCCTTTTATATGTAACCTATTGGTCAATTTCTCCCTACGAAGTGCATATCAGAAAGGCGGATAAAGGCTGTCCTTTTCTTTCATTATATGGCAAAAGATGAAGGTATAATATAATGCATGACTTTTGGGGTGAATGCCAATGGTTTAAATACTTCGTGATGCATGATATATGGTATTTCCAGTATTGAATAGTTAATGAGTTAAGTCACCGCGTTGTGAGTCAATTTCATTTGTTTATTGTCTTTCGAGAGTACGGAAACTGCACCGAATTTTGACCATATATGGGCAAATCTGGACGTGTATTGTTTTTGGAGTGAGTATAAATTGTGACTCGATATTTAATTCGTCCTATTCGTTCGATACAAGCTCAAGCGAAGGGTATTTCAGAGGTTATTTTATCTCCGTCTTCTATAAAATTCAACAATGGCCGATGAAGATGTTGCTGCTTTGGTCGTAGACAATGGTTCTGGTATGTGCAAAGCTGGTTTTGCTGGAGACGATGCTCCACGAGCCGTTTTCCCTTCCATCGTTGGTAGACCTCGCCATCAAGGCGTAATGGTTGGTATGGGTCAAAAGGACTCGTACGTTGGAGATGAGGCCCAGAGCAAGAGAGGTATTCTCACCCTGAAATACCCCATTGAACATGGAATCGTCACCAACTGGGATGACATGGAAAAGGTAGATTTTTTATTGTTTAGAACAATGTAATGCTTGTACTGTTGTTGCAGATATTGAATGTTTGAGTTCAGCATGGCTGACGCTCTTTCTCTCTTGGGTTTGTTCTAGATTTGGCATCACACTTTCTACAACGAACTTCGTGTGGCACCAGAAGAGCATCCAGTTCTCCTTACCGAAGCACCATTGAATCCAAAAGCCAATCGTGAAAAAATGACACAGGTAAATGGTATATCAATAGTTCTTTGCATCGGCGTGGCGTTTTAGAGCCACACCCCATAAAGTGGAGTCAAACTGTTCTGCATATAATCGATAGATATTTTGATATTATTAAGACCTTTCTTCATTCGAAAGTAAAATGTTCTAATTTCTAAATTTAACTCTAGAGGATTTGCTTTTAGGTGATTTTTTTCAGCCTCAACGCTGTATCAAGACATTTAACTCTGATGAATCAAAATACTTTACATATTCTAGATTGTCCTCTCGATTTCTTTATTTTGTGATATCACCACTGCATGCTTTAACCCTTTTAGATATTTTAATCTTGAAGTGAATTATATCGGTAACCTTTTGAAATCTTTGGAAAAATTTCCGCCTGAGACTTTGCTACCTTATAAGGAGGCGCAATTCAAGTGAATCGAACTATGTACATAAATGTACGTGTCATTATGCGAGGTGTTGAGAACACGATCTTCGGGAAAAAATCTTAGATTAAACATAAAAAATATCCACTATTAATTCCGAATAAATTCTTTTAAAGCACATTTTTAATGTTTATTTTTATTTTTTGTTGCAGATCATGTTTGAGACCTTCAACAGCCCTGCTATGTACGTAGCTATCCAGGCTGTCTTGTCCCTGTATGCCTCTGGTCGTACCACTGGTATTGTCATGGACTCTGGAGATGGTGTCACTCACACTGTACCGATCTATGAGGGTTATGCTCTTCCTCACGCTATCCTCCGTCTTGACTTGGCTGGACGTGACTTGACTGACTACTTGATGAAGATCCTGACAGAACGTGGTTACTCTTTCACCACCACAGCTGAACGTGAAATCGTACGTGACATCAAGGAGAAGCTCTGCTACGTTGCTCTTGACTTTGAACAAGAAATGCAGACTGCAGCTTCCAGCTCAAGTCTTGAGAAGAGCTATGAGCTTCCCGACGGACAAGTCATCACCATTGGAAATGAGAGATTCCGATGCCCAGARGCMWTGTTCCARCCCTCYTYMYTGGGAWTRGAATCTRSTGGWATMCATGAGACAACATACAACTCCATCATGAAGTGCGACGTCGATATCCGTAAGGATCTGTATGCTAACACTGTCTTGTCTGGTGGMWCYACCATGTACCCWGGWATTGCTGAYCGYATGCAGAARGAAATMKCYRMCCTWGCWCCAYCRACYATGAAGATCAAGATCATCGCTCCACCAGAGAGGAAATACTCTGTCTGGATCGGAGGCTCCATCCTCGCTTCTCTGTCCACCTTCCAACAGATGTGGATCTCCAAGCAGGAATATGATGAATCTGGCCCAGCCATTGTCCACAGGAAATGCTTCTAAATTGTTAGAACTGTAGCGTTTATACTTGCATTCTATCATTCAACCTCTTGAGTCACTTCACGTGTGAAAATAGATTTATAAAATGGTATTTATTGTACAAAAACTAAAAATAATCTTTCTAGGATGTCTTGATTGGACTTGTCAAATATGTTGAAAAAAATATTATTAAAAAAAAGTTGTCTTTTCTAACTTGTGGTATGTTGATGTCTAAACCTAAACTTAATGAGTGATTGGGTGATGACTACGATAGCAGGAAATATTACAAATTAAGATTTAGCAGATAAAGGAAATTTCTGAAAGCGGAAAGTGAAAAAGAAAATATTTTTGGTTTTAGGAAAATTAATTGTTTTTAGAAATTGTGGAAAGAGGTTTGTCTTGGACAGGTTTTGGAACTGATTAGCACAATAGGGCTGCAGGTAAATAATATTGTCTGAAATCATGAAAGTCAGGCTTGCTGGACAATGAATTGGGAAACTTGTGTAAATTATCATACATGAGAGCTCTGTGTCCATAACATTAACGATATAGTATTAGCTGGAAGGGAAGTAGTATTTGAATCATCATCAGTCGTTTCTTTCATTCACTTGCAGTTTTACCTTGGCTGTCTTTATCCTTTATCTTTAAAGGAATATCCAGGTTGATATCTAGTCACAACCTCGCAAGGAGGGTTATATCTAGTTATCAACCCTGTTTAAGATACTTCCCCAGTGATGATAGAGTGATTTTATTCAAACTGTGAAAGAAAAATGGCTATTTAGTTTGTATTACTATTTACTGGGATCATTCCACCAAGGTTAGGGCTGACATTAACCGGGCAATGTCTTCAGTTGCCATGGATAGGGTGAAACAGAAGTGTCTTTCCTTTCCTGCCTTGTCAGAGTACAATACACTGAGATTCTATTATCGCTTACAAATAAAGTACAAGGGAGGAAATAAACTATGTACATTAAAACTATGCTGCAGATTTATTCGTTTTTGTTACCAGTAAAATTTTCGGGTAACTCCGTGGCTTTTTGATTGCCCCCCCCCCAACAGTTTGTTTCTATTCTATTACTCCAGAGTCCTTTTTTCATATCTTTATCGCGGGCTCCCTGTGTTTTTAGTTGCTGACTAATGTTCCCAGGATCCCTTTCAGTCTTTGTTTGTTCTCAAAGATTTCAAGATGGCGGGCACGACGATCACCGATATGAAGGGAAACGTGGTGAAAATGGAGGTAGATTACAGTGATACTGTAGATAAAACTATCCCCCAGTGTGAGAAATTAGCAGAGGTAGGTATATATAAACAGATTTAGTTTTGTAAATGCTTTTTGTGGCCTTCTAACTAACATAACGTTGTTGTCTTACATGAAAGACCGGCCGGTCGACAAAAAAATATTACTTTTATCAATATAGACGGTAGTAAATTCGTTTTCTTTATTAAATACAGGAAGGCAAATTGACAGAAGCATTAGAGATATTGCTGTCTATGGAGAAACAAACCAGAACTGTACGTATCTTAATATTGCGATGCAATTGTAGTTGTCCATGTGTTTGTCAAAATTTTCTCTTCATAAAGTAGAAGCACGTTTTCCTAAATTCTTAAAGAACTTATAATGGTTAATTTTTGATCTTTGAATTATTTTTATCCTCATACTTTCTAAATCTTTATTTGATTTAATTTGAAATGCAGTTTATTAGAAAATATTCAAAATAGACTATCGGTCTAGGACAGAGTGATCGACCTATCCCTCCTTTCTTTACAAACTTCTGTGTATCCATTTAATTCCTCCATCAGAATAACTATAGAATACCCCACAAAAGCCTTCCCCGATCCTAACCCTAAACCTAACCCCAAGGTACTCGATCAACGAGCGCGTAGGCAGCCCACTAATACTTTTCTTTGCGGGGTATTCTATTGTTGTACCCCTCCATCTTTCCATGCAACCATTTATTGGGTTATTCATATTTACAGGCAGCAGATATGCATTCGACATCAAGAGTACTGATATGTATTGTTCAACTATGCTTCAAAAACAAGGACTGGAATGCCTTGAATGAAAACATCAGCATACTAACAAAACGTCGCAGCCAGTTAAAACAAGCAGTCACTAAAATGATACAAGAGGCTTATGGATACGTAGAACAGATGCCTGATAAAGAAACTAAACTCAAACTGATTGACACTTTGATAACAGTTACGGCAGGAAAGGTAATAGGATAAGAATGATTAATACACTTTTGATAAAATAACCCAGAAATGTTTCTTAGAGATATGATTGCTGTAACATTGTTATAAAGTACTGTACCAATAAGCATAATTATATCGACATTTTTAAACTCACAGACACACGAAGCATAGAAACGAGTTATGTGTTGAAAGAATTCACTTTGACTAAATCATTTTTCATTTACAATTTATGAAGATTTATGTAGAAATTGAGAGAGCAAGGCTGAGTAGAATGCTTGCCAAAATCAAGGAAGATGATGGAGATATCTCAGGTAGGTCATTATTACGCTTGTCCTTGTCATTTATTATATAGTTAATATAGTATGTGCGCACTGATTGGTTGAGAATTGTGCTTTATTAGTGGTGAACAGAGCATGTGCTGATGCCATCCATGTATGTGACATGCTGCTAGATCCTGTGACCATTTTTCTCCTTGTATAAATAATTTAATATTGAAATTAAATTAGTAACTATATAATAATAAGAATAAAACAGCTTTTTCCATTCTCCGTTGACAAATAAAGCACTAAGGAAGCACCATAAGCACTCGAGAAGTGTGAGAAGCACTTGCTTATGGCTCATGCTTCTCCTTACACTTCTTTCGTGCTTACGTTACATTCTGTGTGCTTCATAACTGAACGGGGCATGGAAAAAGCTGTTTTGAAGTCTTAATTTTTGTTCTTCTTTTTTTGTTTTCAGAGGCTGCAAACATCTTACAAGAATTGCAGGTATGACAAATCTATCTTTTTGTGGTAACAAGAACTGTTTTTCCCTCTTTAAAGCATGATATCTGTTGATATATATCAGGTTGAAACTTTTGGTTCCATGGAGAGAAAAGAAAAGGTTGAGTTCATCCTGGAGCAAATGCGTCTGTGCTTGGCCAAGAAAGATTTTGTCAGGACACAAATCATCAGCAAGAAAATAAGTCCAAAATTCTTTGAAAATGACCAAGAACAGGTATGGTAAAAAACCATCACTCCCTGCACAGGGCTCTTCCGTGAGGTTCCCTTCACACACTCTACCACTACATTCTATATTTACAACAATGATGGAAACCCAAGAACCCAGAGAAGACCCTTGTGGCAAGGGAGAGAACAACTCCTCAAACAAACTCAACTCACATATGATCCAGTCTGAGCTGGGGAGCTTGAACACGGACCACAGCAGTGAGAGATGAGCAGTAAACCACTACGCCTCTCATTATTGTTAACATGATGATAGTGATGTCGACGATGTTCTAGCAAATAATCATGGTGCTGGTTGTGGGAGTAATGCTCATAAGGATAATAATGATGATCATTGGTGATGATGATGATGAGAATTTATAAGGATCATTATAGTGGAGGTGGTGACATTGATAAAGATACTGGTACTATCAGTGACCATTATTGATAATGACGGTGGAACCATGATTATCATCATCATAGTGGGTGGTGATGTTGATAAGGATGGTTTCAGATGATTACCTTGATAATAATGCATGCAACAAGCAAGCTGTAGTGACATGGTTAGAAAGCTGTGAGTTGCCAAACGATTCTTCCTGTAATGTACATGATAGTAGCATTGATAATAGCATTGATAGTAGCATTGATGTTGATGATGTTTTCAGATTGTCAGACTTTCATCTTAGCCAGTATGGTCTGGCTAATTATTTGTTATTAATGTTTGCTTTATGTTTGTCTGACCAGGAATTAAAACTCAAGTTCTACCAGCTGCTAATAGAGTTAGCAGGACATGAAGGGAGTTACTTGGCAACATGTAAGTACTACAAGGCTGTTTATAACACACCTATTATCATGGAAGACAAGGATAAGAAACATCAGGTATGATATTATATTACATTCATGTTTATAATAGTCTCAGATTATTATGACACTTGTTGGAGGCTTGTGCCAGCAAGCATTATATATGAATAAACTACAACTTTAATCAATCTTTCTTGAGCCATGGAGACAATAAAACAATAGCTGAGAACAATGAGTTAGAGCTAAACAGTACCCTGCAATATAAAGGAGCAGCAACCCAGAATAAGATACATCTTGCAACACCAAAATAGATCCAATTTTTTACAAGACCCTTAAAACCTCTGGGGTGATCAAAGTCAGTGCATGCTAACTCATCAATCTATGATTCCATATCCTTATCATTAGACTAAGATGTTTTATGTACATTTCAGGCCCTGAGGAATGTCGTACTTTACTTAGTGTTAGCACCTTTTGATAATGAACAGTCAGACTTAATACACAGAGTAAAGGAAGACAAGGTGCTGGAGGAAATACCACTTTATCAGTAAGTATTCTTACTAGTCTTGTTCCATTGTTGAGATATTTGTACATCCAACAACTTTGTATTTCTCCTCTTAACAAAATTACAAATAATTTAAATTGAATAAAGCATTGCCTGGTTACCATAACCTCAAAATAAGTAGGTATATATCCCCCTTAACCTAAATAGGGGGTTCAACGGTGTCATTTCTACAGTGTAGCTCTATCTACTTGATTCCGATTAAGATTTAGAAGTTTATTTTTACAGAGGGAGGAAAACTGGAGAATCCAGAGAAACGCTCTTAAAGCGAAGTAGAGAACATCAATGGATACTGAATGTTTTTATTGTTTTTGTTGCAGAGAACTGCTGAAATGCTTTACAACATCAGAATTGATGGACTGGTCCACAATACAACAGCTTTATGGAGAGGAATTGAGGAAGGGCACTGGAAAAACTGTCTTTGATACGGCATCTGATGATGGGAATAAAAGATGGGAGGAACTTCGAAAGAGAGTAGTTGAACATGTAAGTTTTTTTTTTAAAATAAGTACTGTTGCAATAATAATCCTTTATTATAGTGGGCAAAAATTCATTATGAAAAGAAATTAAATTTATCATCATTAATGTTTAGAATATCCGTGTAATGGCAAAGTACTATACAAGGATCACCATGAAGAGAATGTCAGAACTTCTTCATCTTACGCCTGAAGTAAGTACTATGTTGAACCTTAAAGTAAACAAAATTTGTTCAACTATTGCATCCAATGTATTTGTTTATTGTGTTAAGAATAATCTTTCTCTATCCCCACAAATTTTCATTGTTTTGGATTCAAAAATATATTGTATGTTGTTGTAGATCTATGGACAATAATAACAAAAAATATTCAAGATATAAGCACATTTGGGGTTTTACAGAATATTACAGTTCTCAGCTAAATTAAATCAGTTGGTGTCTCAACTATTGACTGTGTTATATAGAGGCTTTGCAACATCATGCATCATCAATTGAATCTGGTCTAATTTGATATACATGAACAAGAATTTTGTTTCCAGGGTGGGAAGACTCTATTGTTGTACCTCCTGCCATGGGTACTGTATGGTGGTGCAAAGTGTCTATACACCACAATGTTTGTCATGATAAATGTAAGGTGTCATACATCGGTTGTAAACCCATTAATGAGTTTTTTCTTGATTCTAGGAAAGTGAGCATTTCCTGTCTGAGTTAGTGGTATCAAAAACAGTGTTTGCCAGAATAGACCGCCCTTCGAGTATTGTCACATTTAGTTCCAGTAAACAAGTGAATGATATCTTGAATGAGTGGTCACACAATCTATCCAAATTGATGGGACATCTGAACAAAACAACACATCTCATAACTAAAGAAGAAATGGTCCACAAGCTTTCTCAAGTTTAAAACTAGACTTGAATGCTGTTAGTTCAACACTGCTTTGTATCCTGCAAGTTCACAGGAAGCCCAGTATAGACTGGAGCTCTTTTCAAGGCAATGTCTTACATAAATTAGAGTGTACAATGCTTCAAGACAGGAATTATTTGTTGTATAGAAGGGAGAAAGAACATAAAACAACCTATACTGTAAACATTAAATGGTTTTATTTTCTTCAGAATAAAAATAAATTCTCTTCTTTACATTACGATTTGTGTATGTTACATTGACCCCATTTATCAAGTATTACTTAATCAATAAATCTACTGTAAAAATCAGATCTTTTCTGGAGTAATCATAATTTATAGTATTGAGTATTATGATAAAAATCATCCTTGACTTCTGCACCACTTAATCCATGATCAAATTTGCAATCAAGCTGGGGCTTTTTTTGTGGAGGGAGGAAAATTGGAGAATCTGTAGAGAAAAACATGCAGAAGAGTACCATCCAGCAACTCTACCCACATCTGACTGTACTTATGATCACAGCATAATAACTTTTAGAAAAGCCAATCCCTGTTGATAACCTTAACATTTGCCAATACGTTCTGTATGATCATAACATCATCAGGGATCAAATGGTTGTAACAGATTGACAAGGTCTCCAACTTTTCTAGCTTCTTGGCCATCTTACGTAAATCAGCAACACTTGAAGATACAAACATATTGTCCTCAATAGAAAGATGTTTTAAAGTTTTTGAAGACTTGCAAACAAACTTGGACATGGGTTTCATACAATTGACTAGTGCATTTGTTGACAGCTCCAAATGTTCCAAGTGATGAAGGGGTTGCATATTGCACATTTCATTTAATTCATCACTCCTTGTACCACACCCATTTAAGACCAGGTGCGTGAGAAATGATGCAATATTCCTTAATATTGTACATATCTCACTACCGAGTATATTTTCTGTTAAAGTTAGTTTCTTGAGTGATGATAAGTGTTTGATTGCATCTGCTAATGCAGTGATGCCAGATGTATTGTCATGCTTCAGACGATTGTAGCCCAGATTGAGTTCTGTTAAGTTTCTGAAGGTTTTTAGATAACTTGATAAGGACGTTATTCCTTCGTTTTCAAGTGAATTCATGCTCACATCAAGGCAAGTAATGATATCACACTGAAATTTAAAAAAATTCAAAATGAATGAATGAAAGCAGGAATGAGAAATGAAGAATGAATGAAAGCAGGAATGAGAAATGAAGAATGAATGAAAGCAGGAATGAGAAATGAAGAATGAATGAAAGCAGGAATGAGAAATGAATGAATAAATGAATCAAACACAGATATATTTAAAAATAAGTGATTGAAAGAGAGAGTAAGGAAAAAATGAATTATGAAAATTGTATCAATAGCATGTATCTGACTTGTTAGTACAGTCACTAAAATTCCATTGAGCAGGATCAAATTTTTCGAGCCCTCCCTGCCCACATCTGTAACATTCTACATAGTCCCCCAATATTCAGTGTATTTTTCCTAATTAGCAAGTATCATTACCTCTAATAGAGAAGCCAAGGAACGAACTTTTCTTCTTCCTAATTCCACCATACAAAGGCTGCATATTTTGATATTTAAGATGGTATGTTTGACCAATCCCTGCTTAACAAGTTCAAAATTTTCAGGGTTGACATAGCAATCCATTATCACGGTCAGTGGTGGTACTTTGACTTTCAGATATTCAACATGCTTGTCTGTTTCAGTCAATGGGCGGCAATCTATGACTGACATATCTGACACGTCATTCTGAGACACAGGTAGACCAAGGGCTAGCTTACAAAATGCTGTAGTTCCTGCAATTCCTGTGAATCATTAAAGTTTTAGTGCAATGTATTATCATCAATAACAACAAAATCTTGAACGAAAGTAAAGGCTGGCAGTTATTTCGCTGTCTTAGTAGCGAAATTTCCCCTTTTCCTTGAAAATAAACTTCCTTCCATGCCGGTATGACGAAAAAACATGTGATTCATATTTGAAAACAACTAACCAGTTCTGCAGCCCCTCATGTCGACAACTTCAAGTTTATTATCGGATTTTTGTAAGATGAACGCGAACAACACCGCATACATTTCTCCAAACCCTTGACAGTCTTGCAAGACAAGGTGTTTAAATGGCCACTCACTAACCAGTAAGTGTAACGTCAAAATCTTCTGATTTCTGATTGAAGCCGTGACTAGTGTTTCTAGGATTGTTCTCGGTAGACAATTCAAGTTTCCCGAAAGGAGGCGATAGTCAAGAACAACTATTTCAGCTGCCATTTCTGCAAGACTAGTTAGAGCAGACATCTTTGAAGAAAGTGAAATTGAAGAACTTGCCAGGCGTTCCACTGTGAGAGAGGTTCCAAAGCTCAATCTAATATTTCTCACAAAAACTCGTGATTTCATTAACGTCTTTATTATTCAATTTGATTGTTTATTCATAACAAATCAGTTCTTGGAACGTTCCTTCGGTTATTACTTGCGATACTTTCGGATATTTCCGCGTTTCCTCATGATATTGCCCAAACGTTATAATATTTGGAGCCTGGCTCATTACGAAAGTGTCTCGCACTTTGAACTGGTAATTTTATATTAAGTTATCTCTGCGTTCTTTGTGACTGCTATCGAAGCTACTGCAACAAGACTTTATTAATCAAGAATGACTTCATATTTTTGCAATACAGTAGCTATTTATGTATTTTTCTCCCTTTGCTCATGGCGTAGTCTCGCCAGGGATGATGACAAGAACTCAAAGGTTCTTCTTACAAATGATGGACCGACAACAATCGGAGGAAGAACCATTCTTTCTGCTGTAGTTTTGAATTGTCCTGGTGCAAACCGTTATTGCTGGGAGACGTCCGAGGGAAAAAATTGTTCTAAACTTAAAAAAACTGAAACCAGTCTAGTTGTTGACAACTGGTCGTCTCCAGGGAAGAAGACATTTACCATTATAATTGAGGTTGCTTATCCGCATTATAAGGAATGTGGACAAAATACTACTGTCGTAGTCGTAACAGGTGAGCTGGTGTACTTTTTCTTTAGCCAAAACCCACGTAAATCGCTAAAGAGTAGTAAGAGCCCTTTATGCAACACACACAAGCATAGACTAAAGGCACCTTTATGTCTAGCCTATAGTAGTATATATACCTCACTAGCAGCTGCTTCCTGGTTGGCTCAGTTGGTTGGGCACTGGTCTGTTGTTTGGGAGGTTCAAGCTGTAGCTGGACCTTCATGAGTGTGAAGTCCCTCCTCCTGGGCCCAGTTGTTCAAAGCTCGATTAGTGCTAATCCTGGGTTAACTCTTAATAAGACCTATAGAGTTAATCCTGGATTAGCCATAATCCAGCTTTGAACAACCCGGCCCAGCCCTCTACACCAGCCCTACATGATTGGGCAAGCCTAAGGAACATTAGCATAATATGATAAATTTATAAAAATGCAAAGGCAAGAATATTATTTTGAATAAGAAACATTTTGGGAGTTTCAGTTATAGATCATTTTTATTCTTTACAGTAGACCACCCCACCCCCACCCCCTAGTCCCCCAATGTTGCCTCTTATAAAAACGTCAATTTAATTATTGTGTATGTTTTAAAATTCCTGTGTTTCAGATACAATCAATGCTCAGCTTACAGTGTCTCCTGGTCCTTACCACCATCATTACTTTGTTGGACCTGTTAATATATCTGTACCAGTGCATGATCCAAGTCATCTATTCGACCCTGACAAAATCACTTATACATGGAATTTCAATGATAGTACATCACCAGTAATAAACCATTTGAACAAAATGATATATAATTTTACAGAGGACAGAGTTTATAGTATTTCTGTCTTCATAACAGCCCATGCATTAGGAAAACTCTATAATGGAACTGTGGCAAAAACATTACCCTTTAAAGGTTAGAAGTTTTTCAATAATGATTTATTATTCTCTTTTCATGTACTCATTCTTTCTTTCCTTTCTCTCCTTTCATTTGTCTGATGAGTCTTCTTGTATTCTATTCGTCCATTCAAATATTCTATCTATTCATTCAATCACATTCATCCATTTTATCCCTCTGTCCATCCCATCTGTTTATGCAATCTTATTCTATATATTCCTATTTGTCTATTTGTCTTGTCCCTTTCTTCCACCCATTTATCTATCCATTCCTCAATTTAACTTGTTCACTGATAATACATGAATTTGTTTTTGTGTTACAGTTAACTTTTCTCCAGCTCTTCAAGTCTATAACCTACATGATCACACACCTTTGTCAGTGTTACGACTTGTGCCACCAACCAAGGATAGAGTATATGTGGCATTAGGTCCAGTAGAGTTCATTATAGCTTACAATGATCCTTACTCATTAGTCAAGAATGTGACAACAGGGTGGAACTTCCATGATGGTCCAACATTTCCACATTTGCCTGGGAACAACATAAGCTATAACTTCACCATAGTTGAGGACACATATGTCTGGGCAACACCAAGATTTGTAACTCCAAATACGAATGAAGTTATTCCTCTTCTAACTTTGATATCAGTAAGAGGTAAAAGATTGGTGTTTCTAACGACATGGCATGCCTTATGAATGGTATTTGAATGCCTTGTTTCTCTTGATTTCAGAACCTCTTACTGAACTTAATCTAACAAGTAATTCTTCATACACTACCAAAGGTGATTTACAGGTCAATGTAACATGTCAAGGAAGGTTAGTTTAATCTAATGATTACTACTTCCGAATAATGCAGACTGAAAAAACAATGATATTTTTCTTCATTAAACTTTAGTATGGGTCTATCGGGGTGGAGGTGGTGGATCAGATGTGCAAAACAGTACTTGTGTGTTCATTTTTATAGGCATCTAATGATACAATATGATATGAACTTCATTTAAAGAGGGTGACATAATTAGCCCCAGTAATTATCTAACTCATGGCCCTCATAATTATTTTAAAACATTATTCCATGGTTGCTTTTCTCATGGTTTTATATTTTTCTTTCTTCCATCTAGTGGACCATTTCAGTTGTGTTGGAAATTATTCAAGAAATCACATCGTCCACTGTTTAACAACTGCTCTTCTTTATCTGGAAATTGTAATTTTCAAATAAATTATACAATCTCCTATTCGGGATCTTATACTCTGGACGTTTTGGTGTTAAATTATGTCAGTTCTGTCAATCGTATTCAACACTTCACAATACTAGGTAGGATACAAGTTATAGTAATACCCAAACCATGAGATCTTAGACCTCTTTACTTTGGGTGAAATGTTTTCTTAATTTGTGTCCACATGCCATTCCCTAGAGTATCGTTTCTTTGTTTACATTTGCACATGAGAAGACACATGAAATGGATAAAACCCAAATGATCTTATTCTAAAGAGAATCAAACATGGTCTGAAAATGGGTTAACATTATACACACTGTAGACAGATATATTTTGAGTCTAAACTTAACCTATTGTATCTCTTTGTTTTAGGACCAACTCCTAAGCCTCATCATAACACTGCTGCAAAGACTGCTAGTGCTGTTGTACCTGTTATAGTGTGTGTCATCATCATAGTTTTTGTCCTTCTATTTGTGGCAAAGAAGGTTTACAGTAGCAGGCATCATTCAGTGCTTGAAACAGCTGATTTTGATTTCAGAGATGAAGACAATCGCAGTCTTGATTCTTTTCCAGTTGATAATAAATGCTGTCATTCATTTAGATTCTGTAGAAGATTTTCTAAAAGGAAAGAAAAAATTCCTTTGCTGGAAGATTTGGGAAGCTCAAAAGCAAGCAAATCAGCTATGTACTCTACTATTTTATGAACTGTTGATTAATAATATTACATGTATCATTGATATGTGTGTGTAATACAGAATTTAATGCTATATAGATGGATGCATTGTGATGAAGTGTAGTGTAAATGCATTAATGTAATATTGATTGGCATTATAATATTGCTAATGTTAGTAAATATTAATAATCAATCAAAAATATGACCAAAATATCAGCATTTTACCCAATGATATACATGTAGGACCAACTTGAAATTTAATATTTGATTAAGAGTTGCTTCTGTAATTTATTACCAAATGAGAAAACTAATATAAGGATGATTTCATATTATTGTATAATATTTTGTAATGAACTTAAAGATGAGAATATCTTCATGTCTGCAGCTTTAATAAAAATGCATAAATTTAATATTTACAAACAGTTGTTACAGGCTGAAGTAAACTACTGCACAAACCACTGAAAAAAGCTTGTACTCATGCTCACAGGTGTCTTCATGAAGAATTTGACAAAAGATTTGTATTAGTCATCTGTTTGCTATTACACCAACCAACACGGCTAGTTTTTTCATTCCCTTGAGAATGCTAAAACCATGTGAATACATCAAACTGAATCAGTAGGAAATCATTTTCAAATTATTTACAAATTATGCATTGCCAAATAATCAGATTCATGTGAACACATGACAGATTTTGCAACTGAAAAATTCATGAAATGGACATAGTAAGTCATGATTGCGACAGCACTCTGAGTACAGTAAGCCTTCTGAATATAGATGGTAGTAATTCTGTGCCATATCACTGGATGCGCAGTATACAGTTTCAAAAAGCATTTTCATGCCAAAGGCAATAGGCAATAGGAGATAGCTGAAAAGTGATAGGAGATAGGTCATTTCAAGATCCAAGAATAGCTGGAATGACTTGTGTTTCTGCTTCTTATTCTTATTCTTATCAAGAACATGGACCTTCATGCTGAGACTGATTAGATGTTCTTTGTGTTCAACAAAACACTTTCAATGTCGGAATGACCTATTGCCTATTGCTTTTGGCGATGACAATGTTGATTGAAATAGGTGTATACTGTCATATGCCATGATTTCAACCTCTATGAAATCTACACTGTGAAGAGTCATACAAACAACTCTTACGACACTGTACACATTTTCATGATCATATGACCCAGACTGCATTAAAATATCAAAGGTTAAGTCACTCCGTTGGCTTCTGTCAATCAATGCTTTGAACAAAGCTTGTCTAACTTAGTTAATATCTTGATTAACAAAAGCAAAACATCCAGATAACTTGAGTCACCTTGGTAACTAAAATCCTCTGTCAATATCAAAGTTTCCATGCTCAACATGGACAATAGCCAATATCAATACTCAAGGTGTGGTATATGGTGCAAGTCTACTATGAACATTTCCACACACAAACAGCCATTGAACCACCAAAGAACATGTACAATAAGTTTTTCACTTCGTGTGTGATTTCAAACCCATAGCCTTCACCAACTATAGCATGCCATGATGCTCCAAACTTCTTGTCCATGCTTTCTTTGATCATCTTAGCAGCTGTCTGTGAATGAGAAATATAATTAAGCACTATATCTCAATGAAACTGGAAGGAAAAAAGCTATAAAAGACTATCTATGTAAGTTTATTGGGCATTTTTATAAGGTAGTTACCTCATTATTAGATGAAAACTTTTCACAGGCTGTAACACAAAGCTCCATAGCTTCTGTTCGCATTTCATCATTCATATCTGAATACTAAAACAAAGGAATAGATTTAAAATAGGATGCTCAATTGACAGAAAGCCAACTAGTAAAGTAAACAAAAGCAACATTTTCTCAACTTCTTACTCTTATTAATGGAAAACTGTGAAGTCTTTTGTAATCATATCCAGCTTCTTGAGTTCCTGTAGCTTCAGTTGATTCGGTCATTTTGAAATCTTTGAAAAATAAGTGTTTTTATAGAGTTTTTAGGACAAAAACTAATTTCAAATGCTTTTTTACTTGATACTTTTAAAGATGGCGACTGCTATTCCTCGTTACCATCGCGACGACCAACACAGGAAACCCATATAAAAGTAAAAACTTTTAAGTTAACCATTTTATATTAGAAATAAATAAAGCAAATGCTGATTTTTGGAGAATATAGGAATGAAGCTTAGTTATAATATGGATATCGTAACCTTTATTTTACAAAAAATAAAAAAGAATGAAACTAGTTTTGGGCTCCACAACAGGTCCCAACAGTCGGGCTCCCTATATAGTTTTTGTCAGAGAAAGACTGGGTTAATAATATTTACAAGAAATGACGGCAAATTTCAAGAACTTTGGGAATTTTTTTTAGTTGATAATTTCCCCTAAAACGTTCTTAGGATAATGACTAGATGTGCAGTTATTATATGGGAAATGAGCTGAGCAATGGCATCGAGGGATTTTAGTGAGGAGGAGACGACTTGGATCAAGTAAGCTTCAAGTATAAAACTATATACGAATAGATAGCACTGCTTTGAAATCAAATGAAACCTATTCTTCATAAAAATTGATATTAATACTTCTTTGTTTTTCAGGGAACAGTCCAAATTAAAAGAGAAATTGATAGTTGAGGATAACATAGACTTAAGTTCCGTTTGTCTTATTGGAGGAGTTGACATTTCTTTTCAAAAGGGCGATGAAAATCATGCCTGTCCAGGCTTGGTAGTACTGTCGTACTCTGATAATGATCATGATGAGCCAAAGGTACAATTAAACATCGAAAACTTATAAATGTGATGAAGAATATGTTAAGAAAGCATCGAAAATAAATGATTTTTATGTTCGAATTAATTTTCTTTTTCTTTATGAAAAACTTCTTTTTGCAAGCAGTACATATCTAGGTAAGGGGATTTCTGAATAACAAGCTGGGGTTTCTCTTTTGAAGAGCGCATGTGTTAACACCTGATAGTACCTGCATGATGGGTACATTTACCTTATCCATTATTTATGCAGATTAAGTAAAGTCATTCTCATTCTTCTCATTCTCAATATTCTCTTCTTATTATAATTGATCAATAGTCCATTATTTACATTCAAGCACTTACAGGGCTATAGCCAGGGCAAATTGTTTACTGAGGCAAATGGGGAGCAAAGGTGGGAACAAGTAGGAAGGTTCAGGGGCATGTGTCCCTGGAAATGTTTTGAAATTATGACCATTGGAAATGCAATTTCCAGAGTCTTGAAGGGCATTTGTGACATTTTACTGAGGTAACTGCCTCACTTGCCTTATAGTGGCTATGGCCCTGGCACTAATTATCACAGGGACAAATCCTGAATGATTTCAGGGAGTGGAGGGGTAACTGTTATCTAGAAAGGCATCACATCGAATCCTTTTGAGGTCTACCTTCTCCTTAGTATTTTTCAACTCCAAGGGGGAATGACTAGCCACCTATTCCACCACCCTTGAATCACCCTTGTATCATTATCATTAGATCATTATTGAATTGTCTCATCTGTATGATTTCAGGTTGTGTACGAGGATTATTCCCTTGAGCATCTACATATCCCATATATAACAAACTTTCTTGCATTCAGAGAGGTTCCACTCTTGAGAGCCAAGATAGAAAAGCTGAAAAGAGAAAACCCTCAACTCATGCCACAGGTCAGAAAACTCTACCAAATATTTTTTATTCTGGTATTAACTCTACCAAAAACAAATTCTGTTAGGGAGCTTTAATAATTTATGTGGTGGTGTGTTAGCCATTCTCTCTTTGGGGAGGGAGGGGCTGTCAAAGATATTAATTCAAATATGAGTTAGTTCACTAAACGTTTTTTGGGGGGAGGGGGGTGACTAAATTATGTTATGTTTGAGTGACTCTGAAAATGTTATTGGAAAATGTTAAATCCCCATAGCTGCTCATCCCATAACTTATGAACACTTTTTGACAAACATATTTTCATTGCAGGTCATCATGGTAGACGGGAATGGTGTGCATCATAAAAGAGGTAAATCTCTCTTTCTCATTTTGCAATGGCAAAACATGGCAAAGTTTTTCCTGAACATTATATATGGTGATAGATGTGTGGAAGAGGTTGGTCATACTTGTTTATTCTTTCGATCTTTGATGTTTTGATTGTGGGAGAGAGTGTACAACATGTTAATCTAGCCAGCTGCTTCCTTGTCAAAAGAAGGACAAATTTCCTAAGCTTTTCATATGAATTAGGGCCATAAGGAAGAGTACAGTTTTTTCTGTAAATTGCTTCCCTTAATAAATAAAGTGTATCTATCTATCTAATTAAATTTTCAGGTTTTGGAATAGCTTCTCATCTTGGTGTTGATACTGATATACCTACGATTGGAGTAGCAAAAAATTTGTTATACCTTCATAGCATTTCAAATGATGTAGCACACAAAACACAAGTAATGGCAGAGTTCAATTTATGTGACATTATGTTTTGTATTAATATTTTTAATAGTGTTAATGATAATTTCAAATAAATATTTTGTTTTCAGATAAAAAATGAACTTAAGAACCTAGGAGACCAATTTCCTTTGAAGGGACCATCAGGAGAAACAACTGCAATGGTATGCAAATAAAATAGGAAATCATTTTTATACCAGTAATGAAATTGAAGGCTTTTTCTATGTTCTAGGTCCTGAGAACAAGTAAGCCATGTGGAAGGACTGTTTGTAAACCTATTTATGTGTCAGTGGGACACAAGATAGGATTGGCAACTGCTGTAGACCTTGTCCTTAAATGCTGTAAATACAGAATACCTGAGCCTACAAGACAGGTTACAGTATAGTACATTCAACCTATTGAAAAAAATTCTATTGCTTTCTTTTATAACTTTTAAGTTTATATTAGTTTCAAGGGTTAGATCACTGTAACAATTTCTAACACCTTCATTCTTTTTATAGGCTGACATCCGTTCCCGAGCATATTTAAGAGAGAATTATGAAAAAGAATTGGCCAAGTGTCCTTGTAAGGGTAAGGATGGTCAGAGTTAATTTTCAATATTTGATGAGAAAACATAAATATTTTAGGTATATTTTATATATCCACCAATTTATGCATCAAATCCTATTGAATCAAATTGTCTAGTATCAGCAGAGTACATGTCTGAACCAAGAGTGTATAGTATTATTTTTAAGATAGATTTTAAAGAATATTATACATAGATATGAATTAGGGAAGTATCCAAGACTTAATATTATAAACCAGATTTTTTAGGGTAAGACACTTTTTAATCATCAGTAATATCGTCTTAATAATTCTTATATGTAGTATTAGATTCTTACAACACCAGGCATTGTTCTTATATTGATAGTTAATTTTTAATAAATTTATCACCTATTGATTGCCTCAAGTGCAATTTTTCTCATATTTTTAAAGCTTTCATGTGACTTCAAGACTTCTGAGTGACGAATTGACATTCAGAATCTTGAAACCATCATTTTATGATGGCTTGATGGTGTCTAGCTTGTGGTAGTCTGCCCAATTTCAATGTCAATCAAAGCAAAAAGAAAAAAAGAAAACAAGGTAGTCAACAAAACTTGTGGAGGGGTTTCAGTATCTGCATTCCTTCCTTTGATGCTCCCGACAATGCACACAATAGAGCATTTTCACATGACACCACAGGGGCAATGTTGGTATACATGTACCAAAACAAATACATTTTCTATCCTCTGTGGCATTGCACTCTATTTTTATGCAAAAACTGTGCAGAAAGTTTCTATTGTTTGGTACACCAATATGGCTGCCTCGTCACTTGAGTGAAAACATTCTATAGTATCAAGAAGTTTTACTGTAAAGATTACAGGGGAGGGGAGGGTAGGTCCAGTCATTATCTTATAGTGCTGTACATAGCACAGTCTACTGATGTAAATGATGGCATATCATAGGTACCAGTATCGGCTAAAGGAGCATGAATCTTGATCTGCCTCATGTGTGTATCTCTCCCATTCTGATGGTTAGCGAGTACAGCTACTTGTACCATATATGTTCTTAAAGGTTTGTTGCCATCAGACAGAGGAACTGTAAGCCATCCATTAGGCTCCGCTAACTCTATCAGTTCTACTTGATGCAGGTCATGAAAACTATTGCCAGCTCGTATAGATATCTTACTAGGAGTATAACTCTCGTCGGCCTTGTAATCTGCGTATAACGATATATTTTGGATAGCAGTTTTTCGTCGAAATTGGATATTAACGAGATGAGGTTGAGGTCCATCAGACTGCCAGTAGGTCTCTAGATTACCATCACGTAATTGCTCAATTCCAAAACCTGGTTTACAAGAAGACAAAGACCATACTGCTTGATCACCTATCTCTCGTAGTTTGTGTCCATTAACCTCTTCTATCTGTAGTGCTGATGTTGTGTTTGTACTTTCTTCATTTTGTCCCGCCATTTTGAATATTCGAATCGTGTGTCAGCTGAGCATGCGCTAGATGCGGTGTTGTTACGCGGGCTCAGACAGCACGGGACGCCATATTGAACAACAAGGCCAGATAAATAGTAGTCCAAAAAATGGTAAGTTTATGTCGAAAATATTATCTCACTTCACTTATTAGTGTCAGGATCAATTGAGTTATAAATATTTCTTTATTCCTGATATGCTTTTTTTTTCAAAACTCAAAGTAATTAAGGCCTAAACAGCGAAGCAAGCTTGTCCTCTTCAATTCTTTTTATGGGGTCTATGAGTTTAAAAACATTTTGGCAAAACTAAAGGACAAATCGTTTGGTAATGCGTAGTCCTAATTTGAAAATCAAGTAATCTCTTCTTAACTGAAAATATAATTTATATTAACTATATTTACAATAAAATGGTTACCTTAGAGAGTACCTAAAAAGCTAATGATGAGAGTATGTGGACCGCGTGGCACTAATGAAATAGTAGAAGATAACATAGGTAAGTTGTAGTGCTTGGGAACGAGGTTATTCCGGGCGAAAGCCCTTGGAATTACATTCGGAAAAATTAATTTCCGACCTCGCTGGGATTATGATGCAAAGACGCGGTCCACATACTCTCATCTTTGCATCATAATTACCGCGACCTAACATCTATTTCACCCCGGCCTGCTCTCAGTCTGACCTCTAGCTCAGCTGGTAGAGCATCGGTAGTACAATTCCGAAGGTCGTGGGTTCGAATCCCAGCGAGGTCGGAAATTAATTTTTCCGAATTTAATTCCAAGGGCTTTCGCCCGGAATAACCTCGTTCCCAAGCACTACAACTTACCTATATTATCTTCTAAAAAGCTAATGAATAGCTAATTTACCAACCATTTGCCTTATTTTGTCTTTTAGACTGACAGATATAACATACACAGTCAACTAGAACATTGTAAGTAAAAAACACTTAGTCAAAACAGGGCTTAGAATAACATGTTGGCAGGCCCTTGTTTCTGGTGAAATGTTACTGGTTAAAATGACTGGCAAGGCAAACATTTGACTGGACAAGTTTCAATTCTGTTTGGACATTGCTCAATGTGGGGCCATTATTTTAGGCCCTGCAAAAGGAAGTCATTCTAAGAATGTTAAAGAAATAGAGAAATTTATTTCCAGTTCCTCAGTCTGCATGTTGCACCTAATGCAAGCTAGACTGTCATTATTGCCATATTGACATTAAGCTGTTTTATCTTTTCTTTTTATTCAAGTACAATCCAAGTATGTAGGTACAGGACATGCAGATACTTCAAAGTAGTGAGTATACAATGCAGTAAAATAATACTTTTACATTATATATCATTTGCACTGTAATGGATCTGCACTGGATTAGTTGTCATGGGCTCACTAGCACTAAAATGGGTTTCTAAGGAAAGGCTTGTAGTCTGGATTAGTTGT